CAGCATCTAGCTTTGCTGTTATTAACTTTCCTTTCTGCATGAAAGCAACATAAATAAACAGAGTTAGCACGCGTTCCAGTTATAAACTAGAAGAAATCTAAATGAAGATCTGAAAGTGTCTTGGGAAAGGAAAAGAACAGCTCATGAGTCCTGGAGGCCGTAAGCATGCAGAGCAGCTGATGGATGTAACGGGGAATTCTGGAGTGTGTGGGGATACAGCCACTGTTTTTAACGTTAGCTTTTCCATTTTCCTCAAACGTTTACAATAAATTGAGGGAATAAAGGAAAACGTAGCGGGATGAGGAAGGACAAATGACAAAACCAAAGCCCCACCCAACTTGTGTGGTGCTACGTAAACAACAAAGAATGTCTACACTGGGTGAGCCGCAGAAAGATCCCACTTCTCCTGTTGTGGGAATTTCCTCGTGTCTCGCCTTTGCTCCAGTCTCACTTTGAAGCCAGTTTGGTGTAACAACTGTCATCACTTAAAACAGGTAAATGTCCTCACCATGAGTGACTTCTGGAGATAAGAAATCTGGGAGTGTTTTGTAACATTTCCCAGAAAGATTGAACCTTTTCACATTTCCAAAAACTGTGAGCCAAATTCTCTCCATTGTCCAAGTGGAGGTGTGTTGGAACAGGCAGATGGATCAAAGCCAATCATCCGGTGATAGTTCAGTCTCCATTCTGATTCCCATTGTTGTTTTATATACAACGAACATTTCTATGAACTCACTGGCCTCCTGAGAGAGATGCTTCTGATCTCAGTGTAATAAAACGAATCCTAAATAAGTCACCAGCTCAAACTCCTGCCTGAGCTTCTCAGAGGACACACGAGTACAGTCCATGTACATCCTGCTGTGGTTCCCCAGTCCTTTGTACTATCCAGTGTGCGGACCAAATCAGCATTTTACAATCTACTTTGATTTTGTGTTTGACTACCAGACCCCACCAGACCTTTAATGTTGCCGTGACAACAGGATTTGCATCCCTCAGATATGTGTACATTTAGTCCGTTGGGTAAATTGAGCGCAGGCACAGACTGAGGGTGCCAGTTTGGTTCAATCCTTTTGCATCGCATTATTAATCCTGCTGTCTTTGGTCTCATACTGTGTGTTTAGTCCTCTTGTTAGACGGGCTCCCAAATCCCATCTACGTTTGTACGTCTGTCTGATGAATCCTTCCTGCACAATATTTGAGTCTTAGAAATATTTAATTTACATCCAGATTTTTCTCTAAACTCTTCTAAGATGGTCCAGAGCTTGAAGAATGTGTCGACTTTGAAGGTATAGCACGATATTGTCTGCGTGCTATCAGCTCATTGCTTTGTCTCGTATATGTCTCAGACCTGACCTGTTCCTGTGGAGAGCTCAGAGCTAGCTGTCACATTTATTTTCATTCCAGCCGCTGGCTCGAGACACAACGCTGGTATACGTCTAATCAAACCCTCAGCATCCAGGCTCACTAAGGCTGTGGGAACGCCACGTTTGTTGGCTTCACTTATGGGCATAATGTGCGTGTGATGTAGTCCCGTATGTGTCGACCTAAATCCTGTTTGATCTTCATCTATCAGGTCTGGGAGTTTACAGCCGACATTTAAGATATCGGCTGATAAGATTTGCAGTACTCGTTATTCTTACCTTCTTTTTGTAAGACCCTGTTTTCACGAGTGTTGGCCTTTTTAACCGTCCAGCTGAATGAATCCAGTAAAGCTAGCTGTACCATTGACTGGGGTAGCCCAAACGAATGGTACAGCCTTATAACGCTTTGCTTTAGTGATCAGTGAGGTTAAGGTGTCACTGGAAAGGTTCCTACAGAGCGACGTCTAATTCAGCAAAATCATCTACAATTTCTTTTTCATCCACCAGTTCAGAC